ATATACTTTGTATACAACCAGAAATATGGAAAATTGTGCTGTATATGTATAATAAGAATTGCAATGCATTCCACTGTCATATGTAAATAAAAAAGTGAGGTGCTACGCAACTCTGTGAGACCCTGATATAAAATACAAAATAGGGCTGGGGATGTGACTTAGTGTTAGAATGCCCCCTGAGTTCAATCCCTGGTTACTGCTCCCCCCCCCAAAAAAAAGGAAAGAAAAGAAAAAAAGAACATGGAAAATTTGGGTCCAGAGATCCAGGTTAGTGACCTGAGCTGGGTTTACAAGAGCTGGCTGTGCCAATAACTTAAAACAACAACAACCACAAAAAACGGCAAAGGAAGCTCACAACATACAGAAATAACTTTTGCTTGCAAGAATCAAGGATGGCTCGTTGTTTTAATTGATTTTATTTTTTTTAAATACACGACAGTGGAATGCATTACAATTCTTATAGCGGGAGAGCTGTGTGCTTAGAAGAGAATTGACCATCTATGGCCAGAAGCAGGTGGATGGATGCTGGGAAGGCAGACTCAACAGATGGTCATCTTTATCACCTTCCTTCCCAATTCCATCCCTTTTCCTACTTTTCTTCCTTCAGTAAATTTCACTTCTTGGGTTGACAATCTTCAGGTCACCTCTGACACCAGCCTCAATCATTTAGACTGATCTACATTCTTCTGACTCTGCAGTTTTATGTGCCCACAACATACCCCTTGGTTTCCTTATGCCCTGCCCCTATGGATATGGTTATCCCACCCAGAATATCCTCATATGGTTATCCCACCCAGAATATCCTCCTATGGCATTAGGGGCCTGGGAAATCTACAAATGTTGCAGGCTAGCCTGAAAACACCCCCTCCATTGAAGCCCACTATTTATTTATTTATATATAATTTTTTATAACTTTATTTTATTTATTTTTATGTGGTGCTGAGGATTGAACCCAGGGCCTTACATGTGTGAGGGGAGCGCTCTACCGCTGAGCCATAATCCCAGCCCCTGAAGCCCACTATTTATTGATCATGAAGAGTTAAATTTTTAGTCACCAGCTTATACTAAGTGGTGCAGGGTCCCACTTTATTTGGGAGCTGCTCTCATAGATACATATAGCTTTAAAGCAAGACCTCTGGGATTTGGAAAACCCTGGAAACAGATGCAGGCTAGAAGCCGGTTCTTCCCTCTCTCCTCTATCTTCACATTCATTTCTCTTAACAAAAAGCAAGTGTTTTGCCAAAGCCCAAATTGCCTACCTGTACAGACTCATTCAGCCATAAATAAGGTATTGGGAAAATGTTTTTAAAATTGCACAAATATGACTCAATTTATGAAAACTCATTGGGGTTTATGAATGGACTATTTAATTTTGTTTTTTCCCCTTTTGGGCTTCAATTTGGATTTGATGGGTCTCTGTGATATTAGCCTGAAGAGGCCCTCTGTTAATGCACCTCAGTCTTGACCTACAGACCCCTGTGGATGTATAATTCCCAGCTGAGCTGTGCCTGGAGCTCCATGTGGGGTAGACTTGGCCTCAGCATGCATTAGGAACACAGCTTGTGACACAAGACACTCTAGCTGGGGTAATTTTAGCTGCACTGTTGAAGTGGCTATCGGGTATATTTGGAAATCTGCTTTACTTCTCTTTCTTTTTCTCTTGAAGATCACCATCTCTGTCTTTTCATTTTTAATATAACACTGCCTTCTGCTTTTCAGCTTTAAGTATTCAGCAATGGAAAAGACAACAGCAGCCAGCCCCTATGCTTACTTGTGCTCATCGGCCCTCTCTCTCTCTCTCTCCCCCCGCCCCACATACACCATTTTAAAAGTTAGCCCTTGCCTGTCTAACTTCAGGATTGCCAAGTCTGAGAGGAGCCTTCAAATCACTTTTTATGTGGGGACTTTGGCCTGTTCGTGCTGACAGTTACACATTGCAGCTTGTCATGCATCTTTGACTTACTTTCCCAAATGCCTCCACGGAGTTATGCCACTTATCACCTGCTTAGTATGTGACACTTCATCTGCCAAGACAAATGTCACATTAGAAAAGCTTTCCAGTGAGTGAGGGCAATAAAGAATTGCAACACAAAAAAGTTTAGGTTTTTTTTTTTTCTTTTAATCCACTTTCTAATTCTGCTTTCCAGATCTTGCCTGTTGCCGGCCAGGGCTAGTTGGATGTGGTATGTTGTGTGTGGGTGACAGAGACAGAGCCTCTAGTAAATGGATCTTGGTTGGTAGGAAAAACTGCCTTTAAAACTCAAAAAACCTTGACCGTGAACTTGATTGAAAAAAGCGACAGTGATTAAAAACAAATGTTATTAAAGCCACCAAAGACAAAGTCAGAGTTTTCAGGACACTTCTGTAGACTTCTCACAAACATAATGTTTTTTTTAATTAAGGAAACTGAAATCTTTTGAAAGTGAGAAGCTGACAGCTTTAGTTAGGGCCTGAAATAGAAGGCAAGCATTGGTGTGCCATAAGAGTGAGACTTTATAGTCGTAAACTGCTTCTGCTAATAAATTTCAGGGCAGGGTTACAGACTTGTGCTCTCTCACGCCTGAGAAGCCTCTCAGAACCTGTCTGTCAAAGACAAGATCATTGTCTCCTCCAGACATGGTAAATATCTCAAAATTCCTGCTCATGTTATGAGAAATGTAGATTTGGCTCTGGTGGTGAAGAAAAGAGCTAAGTGGTTAAATCTCAGCAGCAATACTTCTATTCAAGTCCGGCCTCTCCACCCCCAGCAACATCACCAACAAACAAAACCCAAAGCCCATCAAGCATGAGGTTCTTTGACAGTTTTAATTCTCAAAGATGTATTTTTTCTTCCATGGAAGGGGAGGGTGCTGAGTAGTATCATGAGTTTATAAAAACAAGTCAAATCCGTGGACATAAATTTTCACGGCAATTTAAACAAGCAAATCTGATCATGTTACCCTCCTGCTTGGAATGCTTCAAAGACTCCTTACATTTCATGTTTAAGCCCAAATTACATAGCTGAGCTCCTCAGACTCTTTGTGATTTGACCTCTGCCCAACTCCCCAGCCTCTGCCTTTCCCATTGCCCCCAGCCTCATGGTCCTGCCTGGCAATTTCATATTCTGTACCTAGCATATACTGTTTCCTCTGCTAGCAGACACAGTCTCACCTTCCTGTTGTACCTTGTTGTCCTTTGAATCTCTAACCTGCCCCACTTCCCATCATACCTTACCCCTACATCCATCCCCCAACACTCAGGAAGTTCCTGAGAATCCTACTGATGCTCTTCCTGGGATGTGCTCAGCACCCTACTTTTGCCTGGGTATATCTCACAACAATAGTCTTACTTGTCTGTTTCTCCTCTTATCTGATTCCAATATCTCATTTATCTATCACTAGCTCCCAGTTCAGTCCTCAGCATGGAATCAATGCTCAATACTTTTTATCAAATAAAATAATTGAATAACCCGTTTGCATTTCTAGAACATAACAGTGTCTCAGAATGTCTTTCGGTGCATTTCTTTTCTTCTTCTTTGCAGTGCTGGGGATCAAACTCAGGGCCTGGTATAAGCTGGACAGGTGGTCTACCACTGAAATACACCCCCAGGCCCCTACAATGCATTTCTGATCAATGAGACCTATGTGAGAAAGAATAGGTGTCACTAGGGTTCTCAAAAAGCCTAGACTTTTGCTGCTTGTGCTGGCACACACCTATTAGGCAGGAGGATGAAAAGCTCAAGGCCAGCCTCAGCAACTTAGCAAGATCCTGTCTCAAACTAAAAAATAAAGAGGGCTGGAGATGTAGCTCATTGGCAAAGCACCCCTGGGATCAATTCCCAGTATCAAAAAACAAACAAACAAACAGAAAGACTAGACATTCTAACACAAGTCAGCTTGGGAAAGTGGGTGACCAAGATATAATTAACCACAAGTCAGACACTGCCCTGGGCACTTTGACATGTATTTTCTCACTTGATTTTTTTCAACAACTTTCCAGAGTGAATTTTGTTTTCTCTCTTGTACAGAAAATAAATTGCCAAAAGCTGTAGGGTTGGAATTAATTTTCAGATCTTTATGATTCTAAAGTTCTTTTCATGTTGCCTGGATATATAACTACCTTTTTTTTTTCCTCTAAGAGGATCTGGGTGAGGAGAATATTTCTGGGTTTTGTCATTTGAATAAAAGAAGTGCAGATGATGGAGACCCACGGGACCCTAGGTCTGTCTGGGGTTGGGTCACAAGGTCATTCTCACATCACCTGATCCCTGAATTTACTCATAAAGTTCAGAGTCAGAGAAAGAGGTTGACCTAGAGATGATGAGAACAACCTGAACCAAAGACATTTACTTGTTTGTTTGTGGTGCTAGGAATGAAATTCAGAACCTTGTGTATGCTAGGTGAGCACCCTATCACTCAGGTATGTCCCTAGTCCTGAGACAAAAGTTGGCAATCCCTTTTTATTTCATTTAACTCTCTACAAACCCGTGCCTTTGTTTTTAGTATAGTATGTATTCATCATATTGATATTTTATTTTTGGCCAGTTCAGATATTATCTAATAATACAAATAAATCTCTACTTCCCTCTTGAATGCCTTATATACACATATCCTGAATCCTGTGAAGAGCAGAGTTAAACAAGTACACTTCAACCTATGTGGTTTAGAATTGCTTCTACCGTAGTAGCACCAGTGAGGTTTGGTTAATGACTCTGGTTCCAGAGACCTGCCCGGTCTGTCTCTCTCTAGAGTTAGGGCTGCCCTGTCTGCTCAGGGCAGTCCACTCCAGTTTGGGAAACCAGCTGCCCCTAGGGAAGCTCTGGCCTGGGCTTAACTTGGCAGGGAGGTTATTCCGAGACTTCTCTGACTCATAACTTTGGGGCTAACTCTGAGCACCAAGCCCCAGCCCTGCCCTCTTTTGCTTTTTCTCTCTGCTGATTCACACTGGGTTGGGATTTTATTGTCAGCAGTCATAATTGTGTATGGGTGGAACCTGGATTTTAAAAATGACAGGAGGCCAAGTCTAGTGCTTCTGCTAGCTTTATTATTAGTTGTGTGATTTTTCTTAATTGAAAAAAAGAAAAGAAGGGAGGATAGAAGGAAGGGAGGAAGAAAGAAAAAAGAAGAAAAGAGAAATATCCCACCAATTCAAGTCGAAACGTATTCTCTTCCTGTCTCTCTATCTTCTCCAAGCTCTGAAAAGTCTTGTCCTGGATCCAGTTCACACGTACAGGTATGGTAGAACAAGCATAGATTTTGAAGTCAACAATGTATCTGAATAATTGGCCATGGGCAAGTTATTTAACTTCTTTGAATGTCTGTTTCTTCATCTGTAAAACAGCAATAATAACATTTACTTGTAGGGCTGTCCTAATGGTTTGGAATATTGTATATAGAGCATCTGGCACTTTAGAAAGCATATAGTAAAGGGCCAATATTATTGATATGGCATATATATATATATATATATATTTTTTTTTTTTTTTTTAACTGAGCAGCTCTTTGTCCCAGTGAGAATGCAGCCTTAGAGAGTAGGCTGAAGGTTGAGATTTCATTCCTCTGAAATCGTGGCAGAATGTTTTAGGTTCCCCTTGAGTGGGGACTGGGGTGTGTCTGTGTCTTGCTGGTTGGGTCCCAGGGACTGACTCAGGCTGGGAGAATACTACCAAAGCAGTCAGTACAGGAGAGAATCAGACAATACACAGAAGCCAAGTCTTGGGAGAAGCAGAATGGGGATGAAGGGTTCTGGCTTAGCAGCCAGCGACACCTCCACTCCCTGGCAGAACAGGCTTGCACAAGTTGTATAAAGACTTGGTTCTGTGGTCTGTATCTATCTCTTTGGGTTTTTGAAAGAATTAGTGGAAATCACACATGTGAAGTGTCTAGTGCAAATAAAGTGACAAGTTAAAAAATTATCTCAGTTGGTAAGGAGAGACAAGTTGAAATTTATCAAGTTCAAGTGTAGTATGGCATAGACTTTTGAGCAATACCATACTACCATACAGGTTCAAATCTGAGTTCCACTACTGCCTGCCTTGTTTTCTCAGCTTTAAAACAAGTGTCACAATACCTTCCTTATTTGCCCTTACTGTATACATTCGTTACCAGGAATAAACTTGAGTTAATATGCATAAACTCATTAGCACATTCTTGGCATATGGCTAAGGACTCTATAAATATTTGTTAAGTATGTAGATAAATGGAGAGGTTGGTGCTGGGACAGGGACAGAAGACACAACCAGAAGGGTAAGAAAACTAAAACTGGTTGACTCTGGACCAGAATGGGTGATAAGGAACAAAAGCAACAGTGAGGCAGTACATTCAAGACAACTGATCTAAGTAGACCTACAGAATTCATGTTGAAGTCACCTCTTTTCTTTTTAAATTGGCTGCAGGTGGTGAGGCAGGAGGGAATATCCGCCTGAATTCAAGACCAGGAGTGGGTGAACATATTCCTTCTGATTTGCCATCATCTCCAGGAAATTGCTGTGGTCTCACTGTGGCAACAAACCCAGCTTCCTTGGCTCCCCAGACCTGGTACCTTGGCAGCAGGTCTCACCCTTTTCTATAGGTGTGGGCTTGCTCATGAAAAGCCCACTCTCAATAGGTCCCAGACCATTTCCAAGGCCAACTTTCTGAACCAATAGGAATCCCAAGGGACTTCTGCTTCTTCGGCTGTCTGACTTTGGTGCACAAGTGGGATGTAAAATATTCGAATTCCAGTGATAGAGTCAACTGTGCAAATTCCTGACAGGCAAATTGAGGCCCATTATCTGTAATTACAGTCACCCGAATTCCATGCCAGCCAGCAAGACCCTGTTTTCCAGTAGTCAGCGATAGCAGCTGTTACTCTGCTGCCAAATGCATCCAGGGAAAGTCCAGGGAAAGAATGGTGAGGAGCAGCCACTGCTGGAGAAATCCACATGGCCTCTGTTTAGTATCTCCAGTGGCTACTATGGCTCTCAGGATGAACTCCTGAGTCAGGTTTGTCATCGGTTTAGTCCATCGCTAGCTATCTCGAACTTCTTTTCCCCAATAGCCTTCACATAGACCCTGCTGAATTGCTTGTTTATAATGAGCAACCTGATCCCCAGTTCCATCAAATTTCCCCTCTTCAAGGTGCTTTCCTATCTGTGACTCAGTCCTCTGGACTGGAATTACCTCATCACTAACTCCAACTCATCCTTAAAATGTAGCTGGTACTGCTTTAGCTTCTCTGAGAAGCCTTCTTTGATGTCCACAAGCTGATTGCATTCTTATTCTCTGAGGTCCTATGGTGTGTAGACAACACAAGCTATCATTCTTTGCTTTATTTGTTGGCATTCCCTTCTAGAATACAAGCTCCTTGAGGGCAGTGGCCTCATCTTAGGAGATTTTCTTTGAACCCAATACTCAGCAAAACCAGGCATCCATCCAGTAGATGCTAGAGGCATAAGTAAACCATGTCTTTCTTGCTTTAGAACTAATGAGATTGCTCTTTCACTTGGTTAGATCAAACGATTCCTCTCTTGGGATTACTGCTCAAACCTATTCTTAAAGTCAATCAGTAAAAACCCACAAAGAGAATTACACAGGTACACCAAGGATAAACTCAACTCATCACACACTTTTCTATTTTTAATGCTGTTTAATCGAAGGGAGATGGGTTCCCTCAGTATATCATACGGGTGCAAAGACTTAATTAACCTTAATGTTTCTGTTTCATCATAGTGCACTTTTGAGGCCTTATATAAATATGATTTGGAATTAATCTGCTTATCATTATTGACCAAAGGCTTTTATCCAGTTTCTACTCATAGCATTATTTGAAGTGTGGCTTGGGCTGGGGTTGTAGCTCAGTGGTAGAGTGCTCGTCTAGCATGTACGAGAGGCCCTGGGTTCGATCCTCAGCACCACATGAAAACAAATAAATAAAATGAAGTATGGCTATTAACAAAAGTCTATTTTAAGTAGAAAAAAATCTGTTTGTCTAGATAACTGGATCTCCTTTCTACAGATCTCTTGTGAGTCTAGCCACATCTCTTGTGATAGCATTTTGACTATTTGAAATATTTTTGTATTTCTATTTTTTTCCCTTTGGAAACAGTTGATGATCTTTGCTTGAAGAATAATCCTATTATTTTTAAACCCAACAATAGTGACAAATCATATTGTCTAGTGAACAGCCATGTCATTTAACTTCTAGGAACAGCACAGGAATACTCAAAGGTTGATTATGCACACTATAGTGGGAAATCAGTTATGTTAGGTAGTATTCATTCATTTAAAAAAAAATTTTTTAGTTGTTGATAGACCTTTTATTTTATTTATTTATATATGATGCTGAGAATCGAACCCAGTGCCTCACACATGCCAGGCACGTGCGTAGTTACCGCTGAGCCATAGCCCCAGCCTGTAGTTACTCATTTTTAAATTTAAAAAAATAGTAGTTAGCTGGGCACAATGGTGTACCCCTATAATCCCAGCGACTTGGGAGGCTTAGGCATGACAATTGCAAATTGGAGGCCAGTTTCAGCAATTTAGTGAGACTCTGTATTAAAATAAAGATTAAAAAGAAGAAAGGATGGGTATGAAACTCAATGGTAGAGTACCCCTGGGTTCAATCCCAGTACTGCAAAAACAAACAAACAAAACCAAATAAATAAATAAAGTTAAAAAGTAATCGTTACATAGCTATTTTAATGTTCATTAACTATATATGTATATGTCCATTAACTATATGTAATCCATACATACAGTTAATAGCCACATCAAACCTATAATTTCATGGATATTGCTTAAGGAAAAGTTAAATTTATGTAAGTTAAACTCAAGTGAGAGCTAGGGGTGTAGCTCAGTGATAGAGCATTTGCCTATCATGCACGAGGTTCTGGGTTCCATCTCTAACACTGCAAATAAAAAAATACAATGAGTTAATTTCCTGGAAAATATTAAACATTAATCAAGGTTATGAGGATAAGATGAAGACTGTGAAGGTGGCACAGCACACAAGTGATGAAAGTTTGAGAAACACTGATGGAATGGAAAGAACTGAAGATTTTTGGGTCCCAGTTATTTTACTTTGCTCATCTATATAGAATGAGTTGCAGTGGGGAGTAGAGATAAGGGTCAGAGAGTACTCAGCACAATACTGAAAGGGCTTCATAATGGGAAATTTTTCCCTTTTATTCACATCCACTCTCATAGGGCACAGATATTGAGTCTATTCGAACAAGTTGCCACCGGCTTGAAAGGGAAAACCAGAGACATTTCATTAAAGTGATGAGCAAAGGGTGGCAGCTCAATGATTGCTTTGAAGACTCAACGTATTAATTTGAACTTATTCACTTGGGCATGTTTGTTAAGGCATCAATCATATAATGAAGGAGTCAAGTAGCCACGCCTGATATAATGTTAAATAATTGATGCTCCCCTTGAACTCTAGAAGTTTCTCAACTCCCTAGACATTAAGCCAGAGCGAATCTGTCCTTTGCTGATCCTTATAATGTCCCTTTCTCTCATCTCACAGCTAAATTAACAGCTTGGTTTTAGAAGTCTTTATCACCTTATGAACTACTTGTTCTTCCCATTCACCTAAACCTCCTGGGCTAAAGTGCACTTTCCCAGGTCCTGAGGTTTTTTTTTCCTTCTCATTTTACTATTTAATTATACAGATTCTCATTTTTTGTGAGTTCCATGAGGAAGGGAGAGTACCTATGTGTCTTAGTCAGCTCGAGCTGCAAAATACTAAATATGGGGTGGCTGAACAACAGACGTTAATTTCTCACAGTCCTGCAGGCTGGAAGTCTAAGTTTGGAGGACCATACCAGTATGGTCAGGTTCTGGTGAGGATTTCTTTTCTCCTGAAGACTTTTAGATGGCTGGCTTCTTGCTTTGTTCTGATATGAGTGTGTGTATGTGTGCGTGTGTGTGTGTGTGTGTGTGTGTGTATATGTGTGTGTGTGTGTGTGTGTGTGTGTGTGTGTGTGTGTAGGGGGGGAAAGGGGAAGAGAGAGGGAGGGAGAGAGACAGAGAGAAAGAGAAACAAGCTCTTTGATGTCTTTTGAGATCCATTGTTTTTCTGGGGGTTTTTTGCTTTTGTTTTGCAATGTTAGGAAATTGAACCCAGGGCCTCACACATGCTGGAGAAGGGCTTTACCCCTGAGCTACATCCCTAGCCCTGGTGTTTCTTCTTATAAGGACACTAAGGCTCTATCTCCAAATGAATTTCAGGGAACAAAATATTTAGTCTATAACAACGTTCAGTTCATAACACATGGTAATAAAAGTCATGTTGTCTTTTGCCAGAAGACAGCCATTTATCCTCTGTGTCCCACCAGAATTCCAGACC